TGTAACAGCTACTGTAACTAGCTCTTTTAAGGAATGATATCAGGAACGTGAAGTGATAAGACATGGTCTTCCTTCACATTTACATGTAAATTGGATTTAACACATCTGTCTCTGGGGATGGTTTTCTGTTTTGTGAAATTTTGTGAGCATTCTCTCAAGCTGTTTTCCCTATCACGTAGCACTTTGTCTCTTCAGATGGGAATGACATGGTAACTGGTCTGTGATGTTCTGGAGATGTGCGCATCATCCAGCTGTTTTCCAGTTTGGTGTAGCAGCTGCACTTAATGACTTGAGTAACGACCATTCAGTTCAACACACACACCCTTGTCAGAATAAACGTGGAAGCATTAAAATGATAACAGAAAAAAATATTTTTCTTTTTTAGCATCCTTACATTCTTTACAGGCTTTGAGATTTACAAAATGGTTAGGAAAGAAGGTTAGATGAATTATTTTATTTACTCTTAGTGTCCTGTGGTATAAATAGGAATATGATTTAATCAACTTAATAAAAGGAGAAGCCAGTGTATTTGCTCTTTTGTGTTGGTTGCTTGGTTGTGCTTCAGTCTAGTGAATGTTTCTGTTTTCTGGGATATGTAACAGTGGAAACTGCTGTAACAAACACTTTGTTACAGCACTGAATGTTATCTTCTGCAGATGTACTGTACAGTCTGGAAGCACTGGACTCAAGATGGGACTGCAAACATGAGGTGTCAGCCCATCAGGTGTGATTTGGAGACACAGCTGTAGCCAGCATGACATTAGAAACTGAAACACCTGGAGAAAACCCACATAGACGCAGTGAGAGCATGAAAACCACACAGGACACTCACTAGACTGGAATCAAACCCAGGAACCTAAAGGTGTGAGCCAACATTGATAATAGACACTACACCATTCCACACATGTTGAAATACGCAAACACTGTATTTGTTTAAGAGTAATAATTACATTGTACAATCTTATTCTTATCATCTGCTTTGTTAATTAAACATTTTGCATATCAAAAAAAGCTCCTTTCCAATGAGTGTTTTACTTCATCGGCATCCACTGAAGATAGATGTCATCCATTATACTGTAAGAGCATTGAAGCACCCTGGCTATACCAATCCCTTACATTGATACATTAATTCAAAATAGTATTCAAGACATGCAGCAATACTTAATTGTTATTCAGTCCACTTTATACTGTGTATCATTCATTCTCTGCTCTGTACGGTGACAGCATTCATGTTGCAATGTGTATTTCATGCATTGTCTCACACCCACTGCCTCCTGTCCTACAGACTTAGTAGAGAGGTACAGTAACTCAATAAATGTCAGCCTACAACGTAGTTACTGTATCTCCCCAGCAGAAAGATTCTGTGCTATTTTATTCTTAAGTAGTTTTTTGTAAAAGGTTGCAATGCTTCAGAGAATGGTGGCTGTATATGTGGTTTTGTGACAGATATTCTTTAATTTCTTCTTTTTTTGCATGTAACGCACCCACACCAAGGACACGCTGGTAATGTGGCAAACTTTGAACAAAGGAACAAGTAGAGGTTAATTCCACTGAAAAGTAAAAAAACAGAGGCAATAAACATTCTGGCTGTGGAGACGTACACTAGAAAAAGACTTTGTGAAACATTGCTTTTTCACTGTTTGGTGGAGACTTAACCTCTCCGTATTCCTTTGCACCTCAGACCCGAGACACGTCTAAAATCAAACATTATGACATCATCCTCCACATCGCTCATAAATGGTAACATTTAACACAATTTACCAACAGTACAATACCATAATACAACGTAACATTCAATGACATCACTAAATCACAACCCTTCCAGTACCATATGATTAAAAAACAGACAATTTGTTTGCTTGTAAATAGTCTAAAAACAAGAAGAAGCAGATCCCTACCTACAAACAACTTTTTAATTGTTCACCAGCTGAATGGTTTTAGATGTGAAGGAAGTACTGTAAATGCTCTCTTTTTCCTGCAGGGAATCTGGTACATCCTCCCAGAGGTGTTCTAAGATGGTGCAAAGGGGTCACCTTGGATTTTATGTGCAAGATTAAGAATATATCACTCCTTTAGCTATATTTTGAGTCTAAGGATGCACCAATGCTGATCACTTTGTTCAACTTATTTTTGTTCTGCAAGGACAAACACCTCTCCAGCTCTGAATACAAAAGGTTATAACACTCTGAATAAAAATAATATAAAAAAGTGTCAACATTGTACTTTCTAGATTAAAATGTCTTGAACATCCTTAAAACATATAACCTATAGTGTGGCTCATATTGGCAATTCAAGTCAATTTACAATCGATAATAGTGCCAAGGTACTCAATATTCACTTACTGTTTCTATATGAGTTCCATTAACACAGAGGAATAGAACTTTCTAAAATCAATCCAATCATTTCCTTTGTTTTCTTTGTGTTTAAAAACAGTGAATTATCCTGACACCGATTATAAAAAAGATCTATCTCCTGTCTGTAAATGTTATTTTTCGTAATTACCATCATTGAAAAGTCCAATCAAGGCAACATCATCTGCAAGCTTAACAATTAAACAGTTGTCATTAATATACAATGTGAAAAGTAATGGGGACAGCACACAGCCTTGGGGTACTGATTGTAAGATATTTCCCCGAGCTCACTTGCACGTATTGTTGTCAATCAGTAAAAAAACAATTATATCCACTGACTAAGTGTATGATGTACAGTACTCCCATATCCAAAAGCTTCCTTACCAGCCTGTTTGCCTGAATAGTGCTAAATGCTGATGAAAAGTCAGCAAAAAGAATGTGCACATACTGTATGGTGATGGACTTTCATATCAGTGTTAAAGCCATCATATTTATATCCCAGGACATACAAGGTGCGCTTTGGAATAAAGTTTCCAAGCTGTTGCTGCTGTTTTTCACAGCAGGAAGTTTTTTTTGTCAGTTGTAATTATGAGCCATGATATAAATTTTGGAAGGTCAAAAAACAAAATGAGCAATCCCGTGTTCTCTGATGAAGGTGGCTTAATCACCTGCTTGTCTCTGACTGTAAGGATGCAAGGATCGTACCTGTTCATTTTCTTGCTCACATTAAAATGTTGAAAGGTGAACTGACAATCATTGATCCAAATGCCATAGTGATGATACAGACCCATCCATTTTCAGAAAACTGCTGATTCCAATTTAGGATAACCTGGAGCCTATCCCGAAAGCACAGATATTATGACAGGACTACATCCTTAATGCTATTCCATTCCAGGAATGGGCTAACATACAGCACAGATTAGAGAACCAATTAACTCAGCCTGCATGTTTGGAAGGTGAAAAGAAAGTGGAACACCAAGTGAAAATCTGCACAAACACCAGAAGAACATTTTCCACACAGATGGCACTTCAGCCCAGAAATTAACCCACGATCCAAGAACCTTCATGCAACAGTGCTAACAGTTTCTTTATGATTTTAAGTAATATTTAATGGGCACATATGGTCTTAGCCTGCAAATGGGTTTCAATAAAGACAGGAAAACAACAGCACAAAAATGGAACTCCTTCACTGGATTTGTATGTGTGGAATCTGTGGTAGAAAATGTTTTTTTAAGGACCGGCATCTTTGAGAGAGAAATCAAAATCGGAATCTGTGGCGAGACCTGTTTTTCATCTGAAAATCTTTTTTCTTCATCCTGTCACGAGAAGGAAAGATGAGGCAAGTAATGTGAGCTGTGATACACATCAAATCACATTTATTATGTCCTCCAGTTGCATGGATATCAAAAGAAACCCTGTGTCAGCAAAAAAAAAAACAACACAATAGAAAATCTACAGTATGTGAATATGCCCTAAAACTTTAGAAAGGGTATAACATGTAGATTAGATGAGGTTCAATTTCCTTTCTGTGACAATTGTTCATCAGAAAACTGTAGACATTTTATGTCTTCCCTTTCAGCTGTGACTAATGCATCATCATTTTCTATAATTTTGAAATATGTGCAAAATGTTCACAACTGCTTCGTTCTGCATTTTTGTATTGCATTTCCTCCAATGAACCCAAAATACTCAAGTCTTTGAAAGATTTTCCCATAAATAGGAAGATGATTATTCAGACACATCAAGACTGTGCCCGTCTCTGACTGGTTGTCTCTTCAACACACAGAGGTTCAGATCCTATTATCTATCCCTGGATTTGCTACAATATCTCTATTTCACAATGTTTTACTGTGTAAAAGGACAATGTACAGTAATAGGCTGATGCAGTATAACAGAAGACAGAGAGCTACAGTAGTCATAATAATCTCAGCTGTTTTTACTTTACAATATGCACAGTCAAGTCTGTAATTCAGTGTGTGAATTTGTACATCAAAGGAATTGTTTTGAACGTGTGATGTAGTGGAAAAAGGCATCAGCAAGCTTATTATTTTTATTCAAAATAGCAATTCATATTGCAGTTTGCCAAAAGATACAAGCATTACCCCCATAGTGGTAGATGCAGATTTTCATTTTATGTTCAACACAGAAATATAAAAAAGCATCACTATAATTACATTGGTGAGAGTGCTGTACTGTACTGTATATGCTAGCGTATTTCACTTTACTTCCCTCTACCCTCTGATACCCTGATGGACTAGCTACTAGGCTAACCAACACTGACACGACTCAGTCTCACTTTAATAATTTAACCCAGAAATAAATACATCTCCAACTCTCCCACCTCACAGCCAGCACCTTACTCTTCCTTTTGTCCTAACCGTTTCTCACTTTTATTGTTTCTTTGTATTTTCTACAAAGGATAATGGAACAATAAGAACACAAGAGCGACAAGATAAAGGGAACTCCTTGGTCTTTTGCTAAGGACATACCTGTCACCTCTGGAGCTGAGGCAGGATTGCCTGCTGGCTGAGGAGGTTAAAGGGTTAATGTACCTCAGGCCGGACCATGTCGTGCCATTCTTGTCAGATGATGCAGGAGCACACAGTGAGAGAGAACGTGAGAGAGACAGGCACAGAGAGCGAGCGAGAGAGGGAGGCACAGGGAACAGAGCAGCAGATCTGCAGACTGACTAGTGCATCTTCGCCTTTGGATTGTGACTTTGCGTTCGGCTGATCTCTGGCTGTACTACCCCAGGAGGAGCCAGCAGCCGGCCACAGGGACCAATGGCAGTACAATGACAGCGTGACTCTTCTGTTCTGTTTCTCTTTCATGAGAAGATCATTCTTCTACCTTTGGTGACACCACATAAGTTCTGGACACTGCTTGTCATCCATGAGTTTATATGAGGACTGGCGTCTTTTCCCAGTAAGGTAGGAAAACTGCTGTTTTGATGGACACTCAAAAACCCATTCTAAAATCTAGACATGCATATTGCTACACCTTTCTTCTCCTTTGTGAGAATGAGCTCTAAGAGAAAGCTGACACCTTGGACTTTTCTCAAATCCGTCTCCTCACCTTTCTTCAAGTTCACCGCTATTTTTAAGTCACACATCTGACTAATATTAAAAACTTCCCAAATGTATTTGCTCCAGCCCGTCACTTTAATAAACTGCTGGAATACTGACCTAAAGCCTCTTTGACTTTAGATTTTATTACAAGAAAGCTTTTTTCAATAGGCATTTTTAAGCAAATTTAACAGTAGTGTACAGTTGTGTGAAAAATGCATAGACACTAAATTATATAAGATGTTGAATATTATAATTGTCCTGGAATATTGTTCTAAAACACCAGCTTTTAATTTTTGTATCACATGAGTTTCTTAAAAATTACAGTATTTCAAAACATCAAATTAAATCTCTCAGAGTTTACTGTAAGCTAGGGTTGTATAAGAGATGGGTCGAACTATGTGTGGCATGTGATAGAGACCTTATACTCAAGTGTCAATTAGTTAGATTACAGAAATCCATAAGAAACATAACCCTACTGTAACAAATTGCATACCGTAGTAATGTCATTGCATTGTGATACAGTATATGTGCTGTCTGCAGATAGCATTGCATTTGCCATAAGCGTCACTTGCTTCATACTGCTCACTTTAAAACCAGCTGTCTTTTTCTTCCACTTTTCCTCTGTTTGACCAGGTGGTTGAAACATGCTTGCTGTAGGGTATCACAATTTTGTAAAGGTAAATATGAACACCTTCTAAACTTCGGCTCAGTAAAGTGGCAGCTTAAGGCATCATTAGTTTTCCTCTGTCTAAATGATATTTCCATGAGTGACAGTTTAAGGGTTATGCTCAGAATTTCATGCTCTTCCCTGTGTCGATAGCTATTTTTCTTCCAACGGAGCATGGTAGTGTAAAGAATGTGTAAATATAATGCCAGCCTCGTTTAGGCTGATACAGTATAACATAGGACAGAGAGCTAGTTGATTATGCTATACACCCATTACAGAGGACACCATATGCAGTATAGCTGTCACCTAATGTTGAAATATGAGATTGTATTTGGTGTGAAAAATCAGTCTACACTGTGGTATCTCCTTTCACATACAGTAACAGCAGGCAACAGTGTAGAATGATATTGGTGCTCTTTCCAGTCTTAAAATATTGAAATGCAAATAACATATTGTAGCTCTTGATGATGTACAGTAGGTGGAAACATTGTGTTTCAGTCTAATTTACACTGCAGGACACAAGACCTTTGTGCAAGAGGAAGTGAGTGTTACATTTTCTAACGCATTAAAGGGAAATCAAGAAAAAAAATAGTTTCATGAAATATGAAAATCCAGTTATTGTTATTCCCATTGCATCTAATGGTTTTCTCCCTAAAAAGAACGGCTTTTCCTGAGCTAGGTAACAGCACTTCAGAGGCAGATGAACTTCCACAATTGTTACCCAGCCACATCATGCTGTAAAGTACTCTTGCTCTGTGTTGATCGTTATCCTTCACAAAAGTCTGATCTTTCTATCTCAGGATATGCAAATCTGAACACTGCTTCTGTGTGAAATGTCTGAATAGTTTTAAGTGTTATTGGTATAGTTTGTAAATCTGATCAAATACAAAATACTGTGTTAACAAATACTATGTAAGATCAATTTTCAATTTGAAATTGAATCAAACAATTAATAAAGAAAAAAAAAACCCTGTCTCTGAACTTCAGATCAGATCAGATTAAGCAAAGATGCAGCATCCCATTTCTAAACAGCTTCAGACAGAAATACCTACAACAGGAATATACCAGTGATTCTGTTTTTGTTGACATAGTTATTGTATTAGAATAAAAACAAAAATATTCATAGAGTTTTGTGTATTTACCATGCCTGAAGGCCTGCCATTGTTTGAAATAAGTGAATTTATCACAGTATAATAATACAAATTGAATTAAAAGAGCACATTCTATTATCCTTGGGAGCTTTTCCTTACTGGGTAAATCACACAAAGAAGGCAAACTTTGGCACAGAAGCTGAAAAGAAATTAAACTTAATTTGTAATATAACCTCCACTGGTGACACCTGCTAGGTAAGGTCTCTTAACAGCTTAGACTCGTCTTTGACCTGCTCGAACGGCTTGCATTGACACATGATCCTGTTTTTTGTTTTCATTTTTTACCAAAGCGCATTCTCACACCAGCTATGAAAAGCAATTTAGTTAAGTGCTTGCTAGTTAAACACTTCACATTTTATTGGGTCTGCAGCTTGTCCTGTGAATGAACTACTCTTTGTGCAGTCTTAAGCCTTGCTGTTCGTTTCCAGTAATGTATTTTTAAGAGTTGCAAACAAACGTAAAAACAACCAGTGCATTTCCTATGTACTACTTATTACAAGAATATTTTTCCCCACCATACTGTCACCAAGGAAAATGTCATCATCTCATCGCAGAGACTGAAAACCAGTCATGTGACCCATGTTAAGGTCTTTCTAAATTTGAGCAAAGCAGCTGCCATCTTCTTACGCCCAAGGCTGCTAGGGAGAAGAGGCCAAGATGCAAGACAGCTTGTTTAAACTCACATTCAAATGTAAAGCACTTCTTGTCTCATAACAATTTCCTAAACATGGAGCCAGTCTTTTAAAGTGACAGGATAGATTTGGGGTTTAAAGATAGAGTTGGGGTTTAAACATGAGCTTTTTAACTTCCAATTGATCTGCAATTAGAATTTAACATGATGTTTATAGTGTCAAATGTGAATATCCCGAATTAAAAGAACATAAGAAATGAGAGGATGATATCTGGTCCATTCTTGGACTTCAACAACATGGCTGGGTTTGTTTCATGTTCCAACGATGCTTAAGAGGTTTATCTGTTTGTTAAATTTAAATTTTTCAAATAAATAACTCTAATCTTCAAGGCTGGTAGTACAGTGGTGCAGTGGTTTACATTGCTGCTTCGCAGTGCTGGGGCCATGAGTTCAGTTCTGGATCTGGGGTGCTATCTGCGTAGAGTTTGTATGTTCCCCCCATTATCATGTGGTTTTCCACTGGGTGCTCTGGTCTCTTCCCTCAGTCCAAAGACATACTGGTAGGTTAATCAGCTTTTGGGAACATTGGCCCTTGTGTGAGTGTGTGCATGTTTATGTGTCTGTCCTGTGATGTACTGGCATCCTGTCCAGAATGTACCCTGCCTCGTGACCATTGCTTGCTGGTATAGACTCTGGTTCCTCTGCAACCTTTCTCTAAATGTAAGAAGCATTTAGAAAATGGATGAATGCTTCAAGTCTTTCATTAAAACATGCCACAAGCTAACCCAAATGAACAAGTACTTCCTTAGTCGGATGGCTTGAGTCTTCCTGAATATGTTCTGCTTCTAGGGCAAAGCAGCTGTGAGCTGCGGGGTACCTGCAAGCTTATAGCATAGGCAATAAAGTTAAATCACTCCTCCAGTCAATTCACTGTATGGCATTGTGGAGATAAAGTAAGGCAAATGACAAACAGATCTATGCTGACCTGTGTCTCCTTTGCATATGCAAAAGTCTGAGTGAGGAACTAGCTCTTCATGAGAGGGTGTGTACAAATCCCGATCTTTCTGTAAAAAACCTGAAACAAAATGAAGGATTCTATAATAGCTAATTTAGCAGTTGCTCTGAATTTCTGAAACAGGGCTTGTTTGCACTGCTAAGCTAACACAAAGTCATGGCCTCATTTCCATAATTTTCATCAAAGGCACACAAGCAATTTTGTTTCCTGCAAGGATGACTTTATCTTTAGGACACACCGATACTTTGAATAACGATCCAATAATTGCTCACTTCTTGGTTCTTAAACTTATATTGATTAGCATTGCAAATGTCATTTATTGTAAATCTTGCTCCACATTTAACAGTGACCTGAGTACCAGCGAAGAAAAGTATGGGTGAACATTTAAAAATAGTTTAAAACCATGTATTACCTGCACCCATACAGCAATGTAATGACAAATTCAAAGACGATACGGGTTAAAGACTTTAAGGTTTCGCAAAAATTAAAAATTTAAAATACTATAATGCTCTAATGTAAGATGGTAAAGTGCTGCCCAATTAATATTAATAACACAATGAAAATAATAATACTTTAATTAAAGTTTAAATTAATCCAAATGTCTCAAAAAGATGATAATGTTGGTATGTAAAAGGGAAGCATACATGAAATGTTCAGTACTTCATATCCAAATGTTATGGAAATGTATGTTGAGCATTTTAAGAATAAAAGTGATTTAACCTAAATGTTTAAATTGTGTATTAAAATTATTAAAATGTGTTGGCTCGGCCATTAGAAATTTTAGAATTAATTAATCATAGTTTTAATAATAATTATAATAGTTTTTTTGATTCTAACAGGATAAAACAGTAGCCTACCTTTCATCTTTATTTTTCCTAATACTAAAATATGTCTTACACTAAGCAAATTCAATGTGATGAAAGCAATTATGTTTTTTCTTTGCATTTAATTACCAAGTAATTGAATATCATATATCACAATGACCTCTATCTATCCTTGACATACTCTACATATTTATATGTTAATCTCCAGTCCCTTGCTTTCACAATCCAATATCTTGCAAACACATAACAACATACTGTATACAGTTCACCAATTGTTATTAAGATTGCTAAGATTTTTGTTTTTGTGATTGGCTGGCTAATGTGTACAGATTTTCACTTAAAAGGATGTTTAAGGTGGAAGGATATAGTTCATGACACATGGCACATGGTCTGTATTTCAGTGGAGTGCTTTGACAAGTGCTTTGCTTGTGTTTCATGCTCAGCCTTTCCCAAGCTTTATTATGGCCCTTTGCTTCAAGCTGCTTATCTAATATAATACTGCCTCCAGATGTTCGATACAGTGGCCTGTCATTTAACAGTTCATGATGATCCCAGTTATAGATGAAAATGAGATTTTAAAGTACAGACGTTTGGCCGAGAAAGCTTAGAAAATCTATTCATGCATTTTCTGACCACTTTATTCAATACAGGGCTGCAGTGGAGCAGGAGAGTTGAGAGCAGGGTACGTTCTGGATGGGACGCCAGTCACCAGTGAATTGCAGGGCACACACAGACATGCACTCACTCACACCTATGCCCAGTTTTCCCAGAAGCTTATTAACCTACAGTACCAGTACTGGTATGTCTTTGGACTGTGGGAAGAAACAGAAGCACTGGAGAAAACCCATGCAAACAAACAGAGAACATGCAAACTCCACAACACCCCAGAAAACAAACCCAGGACCCCAGCACTGTGATACAGCAATCCTAAATGCTGTGCCATTGAGCTGCCCAGCAGATTATGACATACTAAAGAAAAATGAAGATCTACTCTTTAATTGAGAAAAGTCTGGTAATTCTAATTTGTATATAGGGGTAGGGCTCGACCCAACATATAAGATAATTTCCTACTTGCAATGTGCACAATGACTTGCATTCAGCACTTTGTATATTAGATTAATTGCCATATTTAACCCTCTTCGTTCTCTGTTTATGAAATGTAATTCCTAGTCTCTGGTATTAAAGAGCAACACCTTAAACTTACTTCAATTTTAATGTGGAACTCAACTTTCTAATACCCTATTCCATCAAGAATTTAAGAGGATATAAAGAAAACATGACAGGCTCTTTGTACAGACTCTATCTTGCTAGGGTGTCCATGTAATTAGGTCACTGCTATTACCCTGCTGCATTTCATTCTAAAACAGCAATCTGTTACTGCATTGTACA